CTTAAAGGGCCCTCCGCCCAAATCCTTTTAGCCTTTTTGCCTACTCGAGGTCCTCTATCGAATGATGTATGAACGAACGAAATCGGAGCCGGACACCTTGGGCGGTTCCCTCGTAAGTAAAGTTTTCCCTAATGGCAGAAAATAATATTTATGCAGAAAAATTTAGTTTCTGAGTAAAAAACAGAAAACACCAGAATGTTATTGGCTTTCCAGAGATCCTCCAGAAACTAACGAATTATTTTTTTTTTAACCTCATCATCAAATAGGATAGTCGGAAACCTATGATAACAGTGATTTTCGTAGCTAATTAAGTTTCAATTAAGTTCAAGTCATTCAATAACAAACGTCCGTCTGGCACAGTTGGAGGTGTTCTGAAGATGAGGTAAGAGAGGCCGCTCATTATACTACATAACGCTGTGCGGAAAATAAGTTAGTTTCGGGAATTTTTTCTTTTCGCTGAGCCGTTAAGCCCATATGGAGACATTTCTTCACTGTTCGATAGAATAAGGTGACTAGATTCACAACCTATATCGGTTTTACATTTAGTTACGGTCAACTCTAAAGAAAATATTTTACTTCTTATTAGATTGGAAATATTCTATAGGCCAATATGTCAGATTGAACAGATTTTTGTGTTTCTTGATTTCAGGAATTTTAACTTGTATTTGGTTTGTCGGATGGTCAATATTTGCTTATAACTCTCCATCTGAACATCCAAGAATCTCAATCGAAGAAAAACTATATCTATCAAAACATGTTCCACCATCAAAAAAGGTAGAAATAATGTTATTTGTAAAGATTAAATCGTTTTCCTTGTGATTCTCAGGTTAGAATAACACCTTGGAAACATATTATTCGTTGCGCTCCCTTATGGGGTATCGCTGTTGTCCATATTTGTGTCAATTTTCTTCTTTATACGTTGTTGACATCACTTCCAACCTATTTTTCAACAATATTAAAATTTAATTTACAGCAGGTAAGCATCATTAAGCAGAAATGTACATATAAGTTCTGATTTTCTTGCTGCTTGGGACACGTATATGGAAGAACTGCGATCCATATGTACCATTCAAATGAAAATTTTTTCCAAAATCTCATGTCAAACTAAAACGAATCTGAGTAGTACAATCGATAAGTGGACTTCAGAGAGACAGGGAATAACTGTTTTCCCACTACCACTCAACGGGGAAACACAGCAATTAGTGGACGTATTGGAAAAAAGTCTGAGGGGATAAAAAACCGTGACGAGACATTTTAGCAGGAAGGTTAGCTTTTCTCAGTCACTACAAAAGCTGAAGTCTCGATTCTGAAGTCGAAAAAAATGCTCGAGAAGCAAGATGAAACATTTTTTCCTTTTTTTGTAACCATGCGTTCTCGGACCTGATAAATCAAAACAAAAAAGTTTTTCAGGACGAAAATACTGTAAAGTTGTAGTCCAAACTGTCGTCCTTCCATTCGATCATTAAAAAAGACTTTGAAAAAGCTTTTAGCAAAAACACAGAGGAAGCAGTTTTCGAGAGGCTCTACACCAGGACCATCCCCAAAATCGTGAAAACTGAGATTTCTTTTCTAAATATCTCAGGATGGGCTAGACATTAAGAAGTCATTTTAGCAGCACAACTAGAGCCAAGTTTTATGAGTAAAACAAAAAAGTTATTAAATTGTGATGCTTATAACGGGCGCTATGAGCTGAATCATAAATTGTACCAAAACCGCGCATATGGATTGTAATTCTCCCATATTTATGTTTATTAAGAACGGATTAATGTTTGCTATACCATATTGTGCTTCATTTATCGTTACAATCTTGGCTGGTTACGTAGTAGATCGTATACGAGCGAAACATGTGTTGAGTACCACCAATATGCGAAAATTGCAAACAATAATTAGTATGTAATAATTAACACGAAAAAAAAGAAGTTTTCGTAATCCTTTGATTCTATACATCCTTTTAAATAAAAGTCCAAAAATCAACATTTTCGAAATGCATTTTTTATTCAACTTTTAGGTTCCTTTGGTTCATCAGCATTTTTGGTTGCTGTTGGATATGTTGGGTGTAATCATATTGGTGCAATGATCTGTCTTACATTTGCTGTTGGTTTTACTGGTCTTCATTCGTGTGGTTGTCTTGTATCACATTTAGATATTGCATCAAACTATGCAGGTACTTGATTTGATTTATGCACTGTTACTCATAGATAAAAATAGGCTGTCATTTTAATAACCACAGAAGTTGACTCACTTTCTGTTTGCACAAAAATATATACATTTATTTTGTACGCGTAAAGTACTACAATGCGACGAAAAATCAGAGAGGACCCCTCCTAATAAGTGTGCCTGATTAAGTTTATCCAGATTTATCTAATCACTACATTTGATCTTTTACTTGCATTATATTCGATTGCTCTTTTTTAGGAACACTTTTTGGAATAACAAATACACTGGCAACTATACCGGGCTTTATCGGGCCTTAGACTTCATTCTCAAATGATGTCAAACAACGTTCGGTCTTTTTTGATACCCAAACCTTCAAAACGACATTATATATGGTCAGTATAGTTCTATCCCAGGGTTTAATAGGTGAAAAGATAGGGAACAATCTCCTATGTTGTTGGTGCAATTACAAATCATAACGTTTGTTTTTTACTATTTATAAATAACGGATACGGCAGAGGAAATTGCCGGTTTTTGATAGGCTTTTTTCTCAAATTAGACTCGACCAGAAGGTTTGGTTCTGATGCTAAAAGATAGAGAATTTTGTGTAGATTTTATTGATATGTTCTTTTTTAAA